TCAGCATTTCAGATTCTTTTGTGCTTTAAACTTAAGAACAAAAAAAGTCAGTAGTTGTGTATTCTAGATCGGTTTATAAAGGACACTTTTAAATGGATTTCAAAAATAGTTTTAATGTATGCATGTGCTTCTTCAACACTAATGATTTAGGTATTGTGTTCACATGAAACATCACAGCATAGCAGAGACATTATTTACTGTGTTATTATCAGCACACACTGTTTTACTGACCCAAATTCGTCAAGTATCCTTTTCATAAAAATATGCAACTATTTTCTTTACTTATTCAAATGTTTGCTGCTCATTTTGTTCTCATAAACATCGGACAAACAAAAAAGCCACCTGCTGCATCCAGTGAGAAAAAAAACATCCAATACGAATGTGATTTCAGTCTAGCACTGTAAAAGTGCGCTCATAAATACACAAATTCAATGAAATATCCACAACTTTAATACAAAAAATAAGAAGATCGGCGGAGGGATTTCAGCAATGCTCAAAATAGCTTCGATTTAAATGAACAATAAAAAATTATGGCTTATCGGGTCACTGGTTTTAAAAAAAAAGAGCTTTGTGTGAGTGCAGCAAGCATCTTTTGAGACAGTTCTTGTGTACAGAGATAATGGATCTGCATTATAACACAAAACTCAAAACCCCTCATTTACTGCGTTCATTTACTTTCATTCATAAGACATCGCTATATATCATGTACAGTACACGCATAAAAGATGTTGCCTGATAGTCTCATGAACTAGGCCTATGGAGCAGAATTAGAAGCTTTACACAAAATTCAGCAAAAGAAGCTTATTTTTAATAATGTAAACCTTACAATTTATCCAGTTTTTATCAGTGCATACTGTATGGTCCGATTCAATTCAGTATACGCTGAAATGTTAAGCTTGGTAAAAGGAAAGGAATAATGGAAAGTGTGACTGGCTGAGGTACTTTACATGCTCCAATCGCCGATTACACAATGCTAAAGTTTCATCATATACGAAATGCTTTTTGAAACAGTGTACTGATGAAACCTCACACTGCTCCTGGAATCAGGGTGAACAAAAAACAAGCATCACTTCAATACTTGCATTCATCCAGCACAGAGTTTCTCTATTGCACCTATTCAGTATTTAGAACCTGAAATTGAGCTCCAGTTATTTTCCTATAGGACTCAATCTGTAGACCTAAAACGATTAAAAGATTAAAAGGAATAGTTTTCTCTAAATCTGTTCCGATGAAGAAACAAATTCATCTACATCTTGAATGGCTTGAGGGTGAGTACATTTTCAACAAATTTTCATTTTTGGGTGAACTATTCCTTTAACAGTACTTTCAATTATGACCCCAGAAAGCCATAAGGTCTCGTATGTAATCAAAAGCACTGCATTGGGACACATTACAAGATACTGATATTGAATTTTGACTCCATCTGCACAAATGAAGGCATAAAAAAGCAGCTTCATTAATCACGATTGTCGATTTGGAACTTAAAGTAATATGCTTTGAGTTGAGCTGGCATTTATAAGTACTGTTTGAAAAAAACAACACATAGCATTAATTAAATGCTTAAACTCACGAGCTGGCCTGCATATATCCTCTGAATATTTTCAGGTTATTTTAGAGTATGTATTTCTGGGAACCTGAGCAAATGTGTTATTTGCATTCATGAACTATACCTGAAAAGGAATTTTTTAAATTAAAATGTTTGTTTTTCAGCTATGTTAATGGTCCAAAATGAACACTGATGAATAAATATAACTTGTTAATAGTCAATGGCTGGAAACTTTATAAGTAACATGATTCTTGGTTTAAGTTTAATTGCAATGATAATAATCTCTGACATTCTGATGTGATGGGTGTGGCCCAAGTTTATTTAGTAATTATTGTTTTTTTATTCTAAAATGTTTATTCTAATTTTTTTTCTAAATGTAAAATTCTTGAATACTGACCTGTTTAGTAATGACACATAGTAAACCAGCTAAAATCATTATGAAAAACTTCAATTAAATACATGTTTAAATTAAATTAACATTTTAAAAAATATAATTACAAAAATATTTAAATGACAAAAAGACTTCTTAGGGAAAAGTGCAAAGTATAATTTTCCTGATTTTGAAGTTGAGACAAACTCAAAAAAGAACAATTCTGGCAGATGTCTTCTTTTGAGTATTTAATTATTTGTTTGTTTTTGTTTTTTTTCAAAATTTAAAATTCTTGAATAATGGCCTGTTAAGCAATGACACCTCATAAACCAACTCAAATTATATAAAAAAAATGTGAAATTAATGTATAAATTAAAAAATAATTGTCAAAAAAAATTTTTCTCAGTTTACCAAATTCTGAGGATACCTTTGGGACTTTTACTGCACGAAGATGCAGCTGAGATCTAATACCATAATTGTTTGTATATAAAGTTAAACATTTTGAAATATAAGAAGGTAATTTACCAAGAAGTGCCTTAGCAAAAACATATACATGTGCCATTCTACAGATTCTTAAACGTTGACATAAGTTGTCAATGTGGACGTTAAAAGCTAGTTTTTTTGTCCAACCATATGCCTAAATATTTATAATAGCTGACTCTTTCGATTTGAGTGCCATCTAAAGTTGAAATTGCTATATCTGTGAATATAGCAATATTCACAGATATAGCAGCAGCTATTTATAGAAGATGCTGCAGAATAAATAACTGTATCATTGGAATACAGATGCATATTAGCGAAGTCCACACCAAAGTCTACATAAACACCAATTTAAATATTAATACAAAAAAAGACTGATTTTTATCCTGATTTGAACACTTTTTATGTATTTGCTAGAGGGGAAGTTGAGACAAGCCCAAAAAAAGAAAAATTCTAGGAGAATTTTTTATAATTTTTACATACTTAGGGAAAAGTCACAAGAGGCACAAATATATATTAATATATTCTTTAATAATCTATTATTATATTATAAAGTGAAGAATTCCGGAGTTAAGCAATAACTCATCATGCAGAATGAGCTTCAAAAAGGGAAGATGGTTGGTTGGTTGGTTGGTTTGGTGAGTGGGTGGGTCTAGGGACTAATTACAATCAGAAAAGAAAGAAGCCCTTGTGCTATCTGAGATTTTGCTTTTGACAAGCTGAGGTTCTCCGTGCAGGAACAGAGCACAGGTCCCAGATTCCAGGGGCTCTTCAGGGAGCAGATAAACCTGCATTGTTTCAGTGATCAAGTTATTTTAATTGCACAGACAACTGTGCGGTAAACACGCCGAGGACTTTTGCCAAGGCCTCTCATTAAAGTGGTCTGAAACTATATATCATGTACAGTACACGCATAAAAGATGTTGCCTGATAGTCTCATGAACTAGGCCTATGGAGCAGAATTAGAAGCTTTACACAAAATTCAGCAAAAGAAGCTTATTTTTAATAATGTAAACCTTACAATTTATCCAGTTTTTATCAGTGCATACTGTATGGTCCGATTCAATTCAGTATACGCTGAAATGTTAAGCTTGGTAAAAGGAAAGGAATAATGGAAAGTGTGACTGGCTGAGGTACTTTACATGCTCCAATCGCCGATTACACAATGCTAAAGTTTCATCATATACGAAATGCTTTTTGAAACAGTGTACTGATGAAACCTCACACTGCTCCTGGAATCAGGGTGAACAAAAAACAAGCATCACTTCAATACTTGCATTCATCCAGCACAGAGTTTCTCTATTGCACCTATTCAGTATTTAGAACCTGAAATTGAGCTCCAGTTATTTTCCTATAGGACTCAATCTGTAGACCTAAAACGATTAAAAGATTAAAAGGAATAGTTTTCTCTAAATCTGTTCCGATGAAGAAACAAATTCATCTACATCTTGAATGGCTTGAGGGTGAGTACATTTTCAACAAATTTTCATTTTTGGGTGAACTATTCCTTTAACAGTACTTTCAATTATGACCCCAGAAAGCCATAAGGTCTCGTATGTAATCAAAAGCACTGCATTGGGACACATTACAAGATACTGATATTGAATTTTGACTCCATCTGCACAAATGAAGGCATAAAAAAGCAGCTTCATTAATCACGATTGTCGATTTGGAACTTAAAGTAATATGCTTTGAGTTGAGCTGGCATTTATAAGTACTGTTTGAAAAAAACAACACATAGCATTAATTAAATGCTTAAACTCACGAGCTGGCCTGCATATATCCTCTGAATATTTTCAGGTTATTTTAGAGTATGTATTTCTGGGAACCTGAGCAAATGTGTTATTTGCATTCATGAACTATACCTGAAAAGGAATTTTTTAAATTAAAATGTTTGTTTTTCAGCTATGTTAATGGTCCAAAATGAACACTGATGAATAAATATAACTTGTTAATAGTCAATGGCTGGAAACTTTATAAGTAACATGATTCTTGGTTTAAGTTTAATTGCAATGATAATAATCTCTGACATTCTGATGTGATGGGTGTGGCCCAAGTCAAAAATATATATACAACCATTTGAAAGTTTGGGGTCAGTAAGATTTGTAAAAAAAATAAAAAAATAAATAAATTTAAATGAATACTTTTATTCAGCAAGGATGCATTAATTGTAGCAAAAAATGACATTTAAGATTTCTATTTTAAATAAATACTGTTCTTGTGAACTTTCTTTTTTGTTGAAGAATCCTGAAAAAAATATCACAGTTTCCACAAAATTATTAAGCAGCACAACTGTTTTCAACATCGCTAATAATAAGAAACGTTTATTGAGCATCATATCAGCATATTAGAATGATTTCTGAAGGACCCTGTGACACTGAAGACTGGAGTAATGATTCAGAAAATTCAGCTTTACCGGAATAAATTATTTTAAATTGTAATAATATTTCACAATATTACTGTTTTTACTGTATTTTTGATCAAATAAATGCAGCCTTGCTGATCATAAGAGACTTCTTTCAAAAACATAAAAAAATCGTACAATCCAAACTTTTGAACGGTAGTGTAAAAAAAAAATCCTTGAATAATTGAATAAGTTGGAGTGGTATTATGCCAAAATCAAAAAGCTTTTAGGAGTGGAAAGGATCTTGTAGGAGTATCTCCGTGGGGTATTTATCTGCGTAAGAGCTGTGTGCTTTCATTCCCTATCTGCAATGAGAAATGAATCCATTAAGTTGCCTTGTATGAATACTTGGATGGTGTGCACATAAATAGAGCTATGATTTAGCTTGTGCTAACTGCGAGTCCATTATATATTAAACTACCACCTGGCGTTGTAGGTAATAGGTTTGAAATGTCTCAACTGAATGCCATGGGCTGAAAGAAGCTGGCAGTAGAAGCGAAGTTCTTTGTGTCATTTTACAAAGTTGCCCAGTTCTGAGTCTGTCTGTTCCTCCCGTCATATTCACAGATTTGTTTGTTTGTTCAAGGCCCTGCTGGTCATTGACATAGGAGCTACAAAGGGCCTTTGAACTGGTTCCCAGAGAGATGTTGGCGGATGGAGGGTTTGGATCCTGCCGCATCCCCGAGCTTACGCCACACAACCTGAACACACAAAGCAAACACACAGTTGGGTGAATCTTATGGCTATATGAAATCTTGTAAAATGAAAAATGTCTTCAAACTATTTCTTCAATGTTACCATACAGTATGTCCTCGGATGAAGATCTGGTCGTATTATAATGTGTGATGGTGTGGATTTTTGATATTGTGTGTGATAGTAATGATGATTGTTCAGGTTCTGGAGATAAGTCTTCATTACAGAACACATTAGCTAGCAGTTAATTAACTAATAATATAAAAAATATCTAAATAAACAAATATATATACAGACAACTGTGCGGTAAACACGCCGAGGACTTTTGCCAAGGCCTCTCATTAAAGTGGTCTGAAAGTGGGTCTCTGTTGTGCAACATTGAAACAGTGTCCTCAATCAAAGCCGATGTAATTATACGAAGTGACAGGACAACAAACACATGGGAAAGAGAGTACAAAATTACAGCCCCTTTCTGTTGAACAGGGTTTTATTAATGGACAAGAGGGAAGTAAGCTGGGGTTCAGGGTAGGAGGAGGCAGATAGGAGGTGTTTCTAGGTAGACTCACATTACACATCTCTCTGACAATGGCTTTCTCTTTCTCACTGAGATCCTCCTCGTAGTCCTCTGGGAGCTTCCTGTCTAGGTTCTCGTGGACTTCTAATACCTACAAAGCAAAGTAACAGAGGGTTAAACGATTAATGGTGCTTGCTAAATCAAGCTTCACTATTACTATGGGTCATACTTATACACTGTAAGCACTGTGGCAGTGAGACATTTTTTAGTTTTCTCTGGTTCCAAAATGTTATGTTGTCTTTCAAAAAACAGAGATCCAACAAATCATAGAAAATCCTCTAGGTGGCAGTATTACTACAGTAAGTAACAGTAACACTCATAAAAACAAGGATGGGTCCTAAAACCTATGCTTTGGGAATGAAGAGAGAAACAAGTTTCTACCATGAAACTTGATCTATTTCCTGTAAAATTAGGCTCGACTTTAAACATTTTGATGATTTTTCCCACTTTCTACTGATAGACATTGAGGTATAACAAAGAGAGTACAAGAAACTATTAAAAAAGGTAGGTAACCGAATTGAGAAATGGCGCAAGCCTAATAATATAGCATAATATAATTCAGCATGATATTTTATAGCATCCGTTAGTTCTGAAATTCAAACACAACTTGTAAGTATGGCTTAATTTTGCAATATGTGCATCAGAATCTCACTTTCATGGCATGTACAACAGCTTCTGGTTTCTGTGCTGCCGGCAGGTATCCGGTGACGGGGGGCAGCAGATCACCTCCTGGCATCCGCGTAGACCCCTGTAGACAGATGGACACACATTCGTCACAATCAAAAATCACTCATACTGTTCTCTCGTATTACCAGAGGAGATCCAAGCACTGGAAAAGCCCATGGCTGTTTCTCTGAGTCAACTCGGGCTTGAAATGGGTTAAAGCATCTCATTATAACTCATCTCTGCTTGGACCCCCTTCATGGGTATGCATCAACAAAGAGCTCTTTCAGTGCACAGGGTCTGGTGAGCCCCTGTTTAGACACAGCCCTTTGAGTCCCATTCTAGCGTTAAATCCACAACAATTGAGCTGGCATTTCAGCACCGGGGTCGGGAGAGGACCCCTGGATGGAAACTGCGACTCGCTTTTGGCCTGTGAGAACAGGACTGTGATGTTCACTTGCAGTTGCCAGCAGGTTTAAGGGCTAGAGCCGTGGGGACTTTACCTTGGACTGACCCGAGTACATCCCGAACCAATGGTCGCTGTCATGCATCGCCCCGGCAGCCTGATTAGAGAAGCCCAGGAGTCCCACAATTCATTCTGCATGGATTCATTTGCCAGTGCTCGAATTATCTGGATTTTTTAATAGCAAATTCCAATATCTATTCAGGGCCTTACAATTCAACTATCTCATATGATAAAGTCGTATAAACTATATTGTAATTGAATTACATGAGATTAAATGTAAGCTATTTAATTCCCATAAAATTCTATTGTATAAAATAGAATGCAAATTAATAGAAATATATTCATAAATACTTCATACCACTTTAATTAGATTTTATGAATACATGACTGATTGATATATAAAAACGATTAATATAAAAAAAGAAATAATAATTAAAACATCTTAAATAATTTTAATAAAGAAAATTATTCTATGCAGTTACACAATTTTATACTGAAATGTCACAATAATATATTTAAAAATAAAACTTAATATAGATATACTGTATATTATTAAATAATACATATATATGATTATATTTCATATTAAATAAATTCACAGTTATTACAAATCTTGTTATTTTGCTTGTGTAGACTAGATTGACGTGAAAATAAACAATAATTTAAAACCATTTTAGCATAAGGCTCTAACATAACAAAATGTAAAAAATGAAAGGGCCTGAAAATGTTTTCTTTATTAAAAATGTATTCTGTGCAACTCTCACAGTATATTCTAACAAGTAGGCACAGTTACATTCTGTTTACATTCTAATATGCTGAAATAGGCACAGAGTGCTATAGAATAGCCTTCCGTGTGTTAATTTTGTTGACCTAAAAAAACACAATTTCATCAGATTATCGATTATTCAAAATAATCCATTAAGAAGCAAGTGGCATCTCCAGGCTTTAACATAAAATAAGCGATCATCGCATTTGTTTGGAGCCCAGTTTTGAAGCCTTGCCATAAGGAACATCTGTGTGACTGGCTAGAGTGCCTAGTGCTGTTACAAACAGAGCAGAGGAGGTATGACTACAGATGCAGCCTAATTCAATCATTAAAGGGGTCATATGATGCTGCTAAAAAGAACATTATTTTACAGATCTTCTTTATGCACCAAGAGCTTGTAACACTCCAAAGAGAAAGGAAAAATTGAAATCGCATCATATGACCCCTTTAAGATATTTCTATAGACCTTTCCTTTCAGATCTAAGACCAATAATATTAGATATTCCGAAGAGATTTACTAATGCCTCTATAAATGCACACTGCTAATCTATCATCTGTTTAATCCGCAAAATGCATTGATCATAAACACCACTTGGAAGTCACAGTCAGATAACAGGCTATAGCCTGGATTAAACAAATCCAACGATTAGACCACATGAATACAGCTGTGCTTTGCTCTGATGTGTGCAGCGCATGTCTTTAAAGAAGACAGGAAAACGTGGATGTTAAAGGTATAAAAGTAATAGGTCCATCAGCCATTAAAAAATTAGCAAAATTGAAAAAAGAATTAAGTATCAGCCTTTTTTTTTCTCAGTCTGTCTAAAAAGATGTGTTTATAAGATCCTGGGCAGCTATAACAAGCACTTATAAAGAACAAACAACAGTATATGCAAAAGTTGGTGACATCGAAACTTCGAAAGAGATAAAAAGTTTGTAGTCAGTAAGATTTTTGTTTTGGGAAAGAAATTTATATTTTTATTCAGCAAGGATGCATTCAATTGATAAAAAGTGACAGTAAAGACTTTCATAATGTTACAAAATATTATTTCAATAAATGCTATTTTTTTACTTCCTATTCATCAAAGCATCCTGAAAATGTATCAAGTACTGACCCAACACTTTTAAATGGTAATGTATATATACATTAATGTCAAAAATCATAGTATTTCCATGCTACATTTTAATCAAGCAACTCTAAATCCGTTAAAGCACCAAACTGCTCTGATTACCTCTCCTCAGGTAACCCCTAACAACGGCAACCGATCTGCTCGCTTCTACGAACCTGATTATTGTTTCAGCAGCTTGCCACTGCATTATTTAGTGCCATCTCCCCCCCGTGATTAAAGCGAAAGTTCACAGCCATGCTAATGAAGCCATGAGCTCGTAGACAGGGCTGAGACGAGCTGGGATAAAATAAGCCCAGCAGCCTCTGAGGACGAGACCCACGCCACTCTCTAATTGATTTCTCCTTCCTGTGGAAGCTGTCCCTCATATTAAAGTGGAGCAGCTGTGCTGTTTTGGCCTAACATAGCTGATGAGTGCACTAATTAGTTAAAGCACCAGGTTCGTGATGACCTTTTTTGAGGATACGAGTGGAAGGGAATGATGATGATGATGAGAATGATGAAAAAGATACCTCAGGAGAAGAGAGAGGTAGGGAGGAGAAAAGAGGGATAATAAAATAACTTTTTAGGACAGAGCATATTCAACAGCATTCAGTTCCTCCCATATAGCATTGTGGGCTTTTTTCAGATGTTTCTCCTAAAATTACTTTTGAGAATTAAAGACAGACTTTGGTATCTTAGAAATCCTGAGAACAGCTTCTAATTAATAAAAAAAAAACAGATGCATTGGAAATATTAAAACAGGATTGGGTACACTGTTCCTATAAGGTCATTTTTTGGGTTAGAAATTATATCTAAAACAAGGAACGGATCAGCACTGAGACAGTCTCCAGCAGAGATCAGAGCACAACAAACCTCCTGCAATCCACAGGAAATGACCAATAAGCACAGCATCTTTCATTTGACTTCTGTGCTACATATTAAAATACAAACAGCTCTCATCACACTACAAGAAAAAAAAACCCGTGAACCTGCCTAATGAACAAAATACTCTATTGTTCAAAGGTTTGGGGTCAGTAAGATATTATTTAATGAAATTAATACTTTTATTCAGCAAGAATGCATTAAGTTGATCAAATGTGACAGTAAAGACTTTTTCACTGAGCAAAATATTTCTATTTTAAATAAATACTTTTTATATACTTTTGAGCTTTTTATTCATCAAAAAATCCTGAAAAAATGTATCAGTATCCACAAAAATATTATAAATAAGCAGCACAAACTGTTGATAGTAATAATACAAATAATATAAAATAAAATAAAATAAAATAAAATAAAATAAAATAAAATAATAAAAATGTTTCTTGCGCACCAAATCAGCACATTAGAATGATTTCTGAGCTGCTAAAAATTCAGCTTTGCCTTTACAGTGAACAGTAGTGTGTGTTCTTGTAGTTTCATATTTGCAGAACAAAACATTTTCATCATAAAAACGGATGAAAGCAACTTCTGTGGTTATTCTCAAACTGTAGTCAGCAATAAATAAAACTGTAGACCTAAATAATTCAAATAATTGACTGAGTTATTTGAATGATAAATCAACTCACAATAATAATTAACAGGTTCTGCTAATGTTTATTTGTGATAAAGTGTTTCTGTATCTCATTTCAATAATGCAACTGTCTGTTATGCAACAGTTGTTTCATTTAGTTCATTAGCAAACAGTGTGGTTTATTTCAAGGAAAAATGAACAAAACAGTCTGGCAAAATTATTTCAAGATAGACTATTATACTAAACTATTGTATGAAGAATGTACACAACAAATTGTAAATACTTGTTCTATGTAGGTGGTCGACAATTTTTATGTTGAATTGTCCACTACCTGAAAAAGTTTAAGAACCACTGAACAAGCAGCTCCTGTTCTTTCCATTAAAGAAAAAAAACATGAGGCACTGTCCTCAGTGGGACTTTACTCTGTCATTCCAGCTGATGTTTTAAGCTCCTTGGCACGGGTCAATTCTCATCTGCTTCAACACAGAGCAATGCAGAATCCTTAAACCAGCTGGAATTGCAACAGCTAATTGTTGTCAAATCTCCAAATCGTAGATCGATTACAAAACTATACAGGTATTCAAGGGCAGGCTTTAAGATGGTTTAGATCCTACCTGTCCAATCGCTACCACCTTGTTCATTTAAATGGGGAGTCATCTCAATTATCACCAGTAAAATATGGAGTGCCACAAGGATCTGTCCTAGGTCCTCTGCTATTTTCAGTATACGTGTTGCCCCTTGGTAATATTATCAGAAAATGCGGGATTAGTTTCCACTGTTTTGCTGATGATACTCAACTATATATCTGCCAACCCTGAAACAACATACAGAACTACCAAAGTTTGATCGCATCATATAATAATTGCTGTTAATAGTGTTCATCGTCTGTTTGTTTACGTCTTTAATTGATTACGTCTTTAATTGATTATTCCGTACATTTCTGCCATATGTACATTAACTGACAGTCACCACTGATAAGCTACCACTAAATATTGAAGAAACTTAATTTGCTGTAAAGTTGCTTTGCAACAATTTGTATCGTGAAAACCGCTATACAAATAAACTTGAATTTAATTGAATTTAATTATTTAAAATAAATGCTGTTCTTTTGAACTTTCTATTCATCAAAGGATCCTGAAAAAAAATGTATCACAGTTTCCATCAAAATTATTAAGCAGCACAACTGTTTTCAACATTGATAATAATAAGAAGTGTTTCTTGAGCACCAAATCAGCATATTAGAATTATTTCTGGAGATCATGTGACACTGAAGACACTAATGACTGCTAAAAATTCAGCTTCGCCAATACAGGAGTAAATTCAATTTTAAAATATTCAAATAAAAAAACAGTTATTTTAAATTGAAATAATATTTCACAATATTACTGTTTTTACTGTATTTTTGATCAAATAAATACAGCCTATGTAAGCCCGAGACTTCTTTCAAAAACACTGAAAAATTATACAAATGATCATTTCCTCAAACATCAGCCAATTAATATAAGCCTCTGAGTTGAATATGACTTCATTTGTAATAATGAGTGGTCATATAGTGCCAACACAGAAACTGACTGTCCAGACAGATTTACTTCCACTTGCTTTACTCCAGATTTTTTTGCATGGGCCGGGCGGTCGCTGAAGGACCCAGAGAGCATTAACATAGCCACAGTGTTTATAAATACAGCTGCTGCCTGACCTCATCTTACCATCTCTTCTGGTCTTCAGTGTTGATCAAGACAACGTTTAAACACTTGAAAGTGACAGTAGTGCAAATCTCATTGTTTTTATCTGAAGAACATAAACCAAAACAATGATCGAGCTCATCTAGATGCTTGTGCTTTAGCAAAATGTACTCAGTATGACTTGACGATAAAGATCTAGCAATCCAAGTACAAAGAAACCACAAGAACACCTTCACATCTTCTATCATTAATGGTATAAACCTGAAAAAAACAACATTTACGATTCGTAATGGAGCAGAATGTGCTGTCTTCAACATATCTGACTTCAGGATGATAACAAAACCCCTGCAAATATGTTTGCGAATGAAAAATGGATAGCAGATGGCATGTGAGATTATTTCCTGAGTGGTGATCTGAGAAGAGGTAAAAGAAAGCAAAGCAGAACGCTCTGGAGCTGAGAGGTAATGTCAGTCACGCTTCATAAATAATGACCTAAGAAATTTAGCCAAAAGGCACCTGTCTGAAAACTCTTACTGCTGCATATTTGAGTGTCACTGCCATGAAATACCTTCTAAACAAGAGAAACCTTGTAAAAGGTCATGGCCTTTCCTACTTTCATACCATTCTAAAACAAACAAAAAATGAAAATCTCTCTACACAGTGAAGAATGAATGAATTTCCTCCATAGTAAAAGCATCTGTGTGTGATTATCCCCATTTTGGCTTTCTTGTATGTATGTTGATGGCTGTTGTGTGCAAACAGCTCACAAAGGGATTACTGGAGCTTAATCGAGGTTATGAACTTTTTCAGAGAAAATGGGCTGTTACAAAAGTTTTCTGCTATGTCTACATGTCTACGTTGCGTAATTTGTACTGCATGTACTAGTTCTGCTAAACATAACTCCACACTATTCCCGTTTGTACTGAAAGGGTCTCATATGATGAGAAATCTCATTTTCTGAAATAAACATTGTGTAAAAATGTAAACTTAATGCAACTTTCAGAAGTCAAAACCCAGTCCATATACTCAACAGGGCTGCATTTATTAAACAAGGATGCATTAAATTGATCAAAAGTGACAAGACATGTATAATATTACAAAGATTTCTATTTAAAATATATGTTTTTATTTTGAACCTTCTATTCACCAAAGAATCCTGAATTTATCACAGTTTCCACAAAAATAACTGCTGTACTTCAATTGTTTTTAACATTGATAATAAGAAATATTTCTTGAGCAGCAAATCAGAATATTAGAATGATTTCTGAAGGATCATGTGACATAATTCAATAAAAAATGTATTCGATTAATATTTAATTGCTAATTATTATTACTGAAATAAAAAATATATATTTTAAATTGTAAAAATATTTCACATTATTACCGTTTTAACTTTTTTTTTATTAAATAAATGCAGCCTTGGCTAGCATAAGAAAAAAAAAATCCAAACTTTTGACCGCAAGTGTACGTATATAAACACATTGGCTCCTTTAAAAATAAAAGGCATCTTCTCAATCTTCTCAACAACTTAATTAAAAGACAAAAAAAAAAAAAGACTGGACTGAAATGAAATCCCTTCTGCTCACAGTGTTTTACTGAGCATGCATAATTGAACACAGGTTTGACCCCATGAATGAGATATTTGGCATGGACTGATGACCCTGCAGGTAACAGCATTCTTCTCCTCTTCTTCAGACCTACATTATACAGCTAAACACAGCTCACTATGTGGTTTACTACCTGCTTGAGGATGCAGTGATAAAGTTCCATCAGCTAAAAGCCATGTAATAAAATGCTCATATTTCCTAAAGTAAGAGCAAGAATGCCTTTGATCACTCATTCTTGAAAGTTATCAGGCACAAAATAATACCCAGAACAAAGTATACAATACTTGAATATTCCGAGATATCTTTCCTCAAAGAATTGAGTTATTGATGGAGGCAATAAAAGGAAAACTGCTAGTGACAGATCTGTACCTTTGTCTCGTATAACTGTCGGAGCTCCAGGGCCTTTTGTTCAAAGCTCTGACAGTGTCATAATATGAAATCAGAGTCCCATTTCAGCATCAAAGCTTTGAGATTCAGCCAGAGTTATACATGTAAGTCTTGCTGCAATGACATGCATTAAAGGAACAGTTCACCCACAAATGAAAATTTCCTGAAAATTTACTCAGGCCATCCAAGAGCAAATTAGTTTGTTTATTCATCGGAAAAGATTTGGAGAAATTTGTCATTACATCACTTGTTCACCAATGGATCCTCTGCAGTGAATGGGTGCCGTCAGAATGAAAGTCCAAACAGCTGATAAAAACATCACAAAAATAATCCACACGACTCCAGTCTATCAATGAATGTCTTGTGAAGTGAAAAGCTACATTATTGTAACAAACAAATCCATTATTAAAGGCGTTTTAACTTTAAACCATCACTTCTGGTGAAATATCTGTCCATAATTCATAAAAATGCTTCCTCCACTAAGAAAGTCCATCCACTGTTGTCCTCTTACATCAAAATCCACCAACATATTTGCTTAGAACTGTTTTGGACTGTTTTTGCTTGTAGGCAGTGCTTGATCTGTGTAGATTTCTTTCCTGATTCAGATGAGTCAATGTTTCACAGATTGAATGTAGATCTACATGACCACTTTACACTCTCTCTGACCTTCTACTGGCGGATTAGTTTAATATGTATGTTTCTGTATGCAAATAACCATTATGATTGATTAAACCTTTGGAATCTGAACTGGGAAGGAAGCTTTGTGTTTCCATGGCATGTACCTTACTATCACATTACCAGCAGAGTTTAAGGTCTAGACTCTTACCTGGGATAACAATTGCTTGTTGTCATCCTCTAAAATCCGGACTTTAGTCTCAAGTTGGCGGATGTAGTTTGAAGATGAATCTGTACAAAGAATAGAGGGGGAAAAAAGAGAAATGGATTAGAAAATTGGCCATTTTGTTTTTTGAACATAGCCTACATCATATGAACTATCATTTAAAAGTTTGGGTCAGTAACATTTTTTTTTTTATGTTTAAAAAAATAAAATAAAATCACCAATGCTTTATTTATTTGATCAAAAATATAGTAAAAATATTAATATTGTGAATTTACACTACAATTAAAAATAATTTGTAACTATTCTAATTTGGTGCTCAAGAAACATTTCTTATTATTATCAATGCTTCTTAATATTTTTGTGGAGTTTTAGAATGGTTTGATGAATAGCAAGTTCAAAATAACATTTATCTGAAAAATAAGTTTTTATAAAAATGTGATAGTCTTTACTTTGGCTTTTGATTGATTTCATGCATCCTTGAGAAATAAAAGTATTAATTTCTTTCAAATATTCATTCCAAATTTTTTGGACAGTTTGGATACATACATACACACACACACACACACACATATATATATATATATATATATATATATACACTAATGCATTCCTCTTATATGCAATTCAATCCTATGATATGAAATCGGGACAGTTAATAGAGTCAAGATGATCAACAGTTCTGTGTGGCCCGTGATTTTTCAGCCTGTGTGATGTTTTTGGCCCTACTCAAGTTTCTCCAAACATAATTTCTTATGTTATGAAAACCGTTTTACTGTGAAAACTCCTTAGAAGTGATTTAGTCATCCCGGAATCTGAGTCATTTTGAAATAGTGCTGCTTTCTATTAGGTACTGGCATACAATACCATATCCCAGAATGCACTGCGGCTACACGAGTTAAATAGAAGACATCTGTCAAAGCAAAAGAAAGATGCTGAAAGACGAACGTTTTGCACAGTTCACATCCTACATGTTCACATAAAGACTTTTACTTTAAAGAGCTCATTTAGACAACAAAGAAATCTAAAATCAGGAAATTTATACTGCCTTTGACACACGCAAGCTGCTTTCGTTTAAGCCATCAGATGTTTGTCTCGAACAAAATCAAACGTCAAAGAAACTAGAAGCACAGGTAAACAAACTGATTTCATGTCTGTGAAGTAAAAGCCAGTAAATGAGGATTAAAAAAAACAGTTCTGGAGTGGTGGTAGAGGAGGATCTTGAAGTGTTCGGTCTTGTGTGTTTGCTGCATTCCCAGCATGCCTTTCATGACCTTTTGGTTGATGGAGGGCCTGCCAGCCTGAGTAGATGCAAAAAAGGAGCATGTCTGTCTAGTAATTTTACGTTGAAAATCCTTAAATATCCCTTGTGCATACTCAAAACCCTCCTGAAAGAGACCAAGAGGTGCTTAGTTAACTAAACATACTAAAATATCTAAATCCAATGATGTATACATACAGTCACCTGGCCAATATCACAAAATAAATCCAAACAGGGTGATCAAGACCCAGACACAAAACAGAAATGTCTTGTATCAACTACAAATAAAATAAAATAAAATATTTTTATGTGAGAAATATATTTGCTTACTGAATGCAGCAATTGACAAATCAGAATCAAGTGTTCCAGAGAGTCATTTAATACATAATTATAATTCTTTGTATTTGAATTACATAATACAATGTCAACAATTTTTCATTTTTATTTTTTTACTACATATATCTAAGTATTACAAATTCCAGAAGACAGACATCAAGAGGGTGATGTGGGTGCCATGCATTGGCACCGTTCAGGAGCGAAGACGGAAGAGATTAGCTGTTTAAAGTATGCACACACTCACGTACACTAACACACACAGAGTGTGTCACACAGGAACTGAGTAAGGATTGTGTGATTGGAAAGATAAAGATAACAGAGGCCTTCAATGACAGCAGAATGAATCATCAAGGATTTTCTTGCTTTCATTTTCTCTAAAAGACCAAGGGACCCTTTGGTAACAGAATAGGGACTAATAGGAATTAATACTGTATTCAACATTTTATATAGTACCTTATTACATTATTTACATTGCACAACAATTAAAATAATAAAATGTAATAATAAAACATTTATCCTTTAACATTTTATTTATGAAAAATTTATTGGTTAAAGTTACTTAAAATTTTATTTTATTATATTTTATACACTACATATTAAAAGTTTGGAGTCTGTAAGATTTAAAAAAAATTCAAATAAAGAACTCAACAAGGATGCATTGAATTGCTCAAAAGTGAAGACATTTATATTATTACAGAAAACAAGTTTTTTCATATAAACGTTGTTTTGAAATATGAAAAACTGTATCACGTTTCCACAAAAATATTAAGCTGTTTTTTATAACAAGAGTTTCTTGTGCACCAAATCAAATTTAAGAACGATTACAAGCTATTTAAAAATTGTACAAATATTTCATAATATTACAATTTTGCTGTATTTTTGATCAAATTAATACAGCCTTGGTGAGACCACAAGGGATCTTACTGACACCAAACTTCTGAACAGTACTATATTTTCACAAAAATTAGTTTGAGATTTGTCGCACATTTTACTGCTCACTCTATCACTCTGACACCCTTCAGAAAGATGTTAACAACATCAGTCAAGGATGGGCCACCTGACCCTTTGAAATGAGATTCAAGGGTTTATATCCTCCTCCCTTTGAACCCAGAATTAATAAACCACGGCCAATCCTCATTCTCCTATCAGCTTTCCCGCGCCATTTTGTTCGTTTCATCACAGTGAAATCAATGGTCAAGACCGTTATCACCACCAGGTGTCACTGCTGCCTCTTACTTGCTTACAGTATCTGATGAACCCTTAATGAGAAACACCAAACGAATCACCGCATTTGTTTTTTATTCATCACTTATTTCTGACAACAGTACATGAAGATGGCGATTTGAAAGGTAATTTAATTGAAATAACTCTGGGATGGATACATGTTTATGGGCCCTCCAGAACCATAGGTCCTGCTTCGTTAATCCTCTTTGCCAATCCTTATGACCCTATAATCTAACTACAGTACATCTGATCACCTGACACACAGCCAAGCTGATTAGCAAGGCTGTCTACAAAGCCTGACCGGTTCTGCCTCACACATAACCCCTACCTCGATCCACCTCTGGCGTTCCCCACCGCTGACCAGAGAAAGACGGAGCGGAACGCTACACTCCCTCCCAATCCATTCACAGCCGGAGAGTCTTTTATCTCCGCAGGGCTGTAATACAGCAGGCACTCTTTGAACATGCGAGAAAAATAGTTTTCTACACCCCTCTGTAATGGTTTCTTGGGTAACCCACAGAAATGAGGTATACGCCCAGATTTGAATACAGCCATTATCAACGTAGAGGATTAATGGAGAATTGTACAAGCTTTCAATTGTTGAAAGTGGAAAAATGAAGGGGATTATGAAAGGAACTTAAACACATACGTAGCCACATTCAAAAAGGACAAAAATAAACGCCCCCGGGTTATCAGACAGCATTTTACGGGCGACACAATACAACCCAGATGAAGTTAGGGACGGTCGTGAGAGCGTCGCCCACCTCTAGCAACCTCTGCTCAGTTAGACATTTTCTCCTGCAGTGCTGTAGGCTCTCCAACAGAGCACGCAACTTAACATTCAACTCTAACAAGCTGTCCTACTGTGTCTTTACAGAAATCAAGAGAAACACGTGTTTGCGGTAATGCCAGATCTATCTGCTATCATGCTGGCAACATCTCAGGGTGCGCTTGACTTAATTGGAGAGACACTGTGATGTGAAATAGCCTGAGAGAAAGTCTCCCTATGTCTTATCTGATCCACTTGTAGTGCCATGTTTTTACTCTTTCTGTCGAGTCTGTCCAGTTGACATGTGGTCAGTGTTTTTAGCATTAACGAAAATTTAATTAAAATATTTTTTGTTAACTGAAAATAAAAATAAACCCAGCATAACTAAAACACACTTTCTTAACTCAGAAATAAATTATTTCATTTTTACCTGAAAAATGTAACCCACTTTGGTCATTTTTGACAGCAATATTTGACATTTTGGCTTTTTTAGAATTTTTCACCATCAGAATGGTACAAAATGTTTTACTTCATCGGAATGGTACGACACTTGGCAAAGGTTTTGCCACTTACAGTGTGAACACACACACACAAAATAATGGCCATGATTCAAAAAGGTTCTTAAAAACAGTCACACTTGTACACTTTGCAGTCAAATTATTGGAAACAAATTTCATCCAGTGGAACTGTTTGGTACTGCGCTCAAACAAAATATATCTGAAATCTAATTTTTTGAGATATGAACCTCAAATTTGGAACACAACTTGTATAGATTTATGGCTTTGATTTTCTCACAGTTTTAGAGTAAAACATGATTTGTAAAATATACAGGTAGATTTCACATCAAATTTGAAAGCATTATTTTTGTGCATTGTTCATAACCATAAACTTAAACTTAACTTCTATAACTTTTTTCACTTCAGCAGTAATCTGCCAAGTGTCTTCTTTAAAAATAGACCAAACCTAAGTCTGTGCTAGACCCCTAGAATACAAACATTAAATAAAATAAAAGCATTATAGTACATTAATTTAATTGAAATTGAAAAAAAATAATAATAATTTGGTAACTTTGACCGCAACGTGAGGAGCACCAGAGGGTTAAAGCGGTTAAACATTTTGAAATGATACTAGTTAGCACATGAACTTTGGCAGCCCTAAAATACTAAAATTAAAATGAAAATAACAGAAATATAAACTGAAACTAGAAAAGTCTGGAAAACTAACCTAAAACTAACAATGAAAGAATGAAAACTAATAAAACTAAACTAAACTGAAAAGACCAAAAAAATAACTAAAGTCAATTTAAATTGGGAATTAAAACTAATAAATAATAATAACCCTAGCCATAATAACCCTAATTATAACCCTAGCCATGTCATGGGTTTCAGCTAGAGTCACATTAAAGTGACAAAAAGGTCAAGGAATAGTGGTTAGCAGTTAGGATGCTCATATGGGCAATTTGAGTTTGAATTTGACGT